CTAGTGGCAGTTGGTGACAGGCGGGGCAGCTGGTGGCAGAAGGTGGCAGTTGGTGACAGAACAGGGACAGAAGGTGGCAGTTGGTGACAAACCAGGGACAGGCGGGGCAGTTGGTAGCAGAAGTGGGGCAGGCAGGGCAGTTGGTGGCAGCTGGTGACAGAAGATGGCAGTTGGTGACAGACCAGGGACAGGCAGGGCAGTTGGTGGCAGAAGGAGGATAGGCGGGGCAGCTGGTGGCAGAAGGTGGCAGTTGGTGACAAACCAGGGACAGGCGGGGCAGTTGGTAGCAGAAGTGGGGCAGGCAGGGCAGTTGGTGGCAGCTGGTGACAGAAGATGGCAGTTGGTGACAGACCAGGGACAGGCAGGGCAGTTGGTGGCAGAAGGAGGATAGGCGGGGCAGCTGGTGGCAGAAGGTGGCAGTTGGTGACAAACCAGGGACAGGCGGGGCAGTTGGTGACAAACCAGGGACAGGCGGGGCAGTTGGTGGCAGCTGGTGACAGAAGATGGCAGTTGGTGACAGACCAGGGACAGGCAGGGCAGTTGGTGGCAGAAGAGGGATAGGCGGGGCAGCTGGTGACAGAAGGTGGCAGTTGGTGACAAACCAGGGACAGGCGGGGCAGTTGGTGGCAGCTGGTGACAGAAGATGGCAGTTGGTGACAGACCAGGGACAGGCAGGGCAGTTGGTGGCAGAAGAGGGATAGGCGGGGCAGCTGGTGCCAGAAGGTGGCAGTTGGTGACAAACCAGGGACAGGCGGGGCAGTTGGTGACAAACCAGGGACAGGCGGGGCAGTTGGTGGCAGCTGGTGCCAGAAGGTGGCAGTTGGTGACAAACCAGGGACAGGCGGGGCAGTTGGTGGCAGAAGAGGGACAGGCAGGGCAGCTGGTGACAGAAGGTGGCAGTTGGTGACAAACCAGGGACAGGTGGGGCAGCTGGTCACAAACCAGGGACAGGCGGGGCAGTTGGTGACAAACCAGGGACAGGCGGGGCAGTTGGTGGCAGCTGGTGACAGAAGATGGCAGTTGGTGACAGACCAGGGACAGGCAGGGCAGTTGGTGGCAGAAGAGGGATAGGCGGGGCAGCTGGTGACAGAAGGTGGCAGTTGGTGACAAACCAGGGACAGGCGGGGCAGTTGGTGACAAACCAGGGACAGGCGGGGCAGTTGGTGGCAGAAGAGGGACAGGCAGGGCAGCTGGTGACAGAAGGTGGCAGTTGGTGACAAACCAGGGACAGGCGGGGCAGCTGGTCACAAACCAGGGACAGGCGGGGCAGTTGGTGACAAACCAGGGACAGGCGGGGCAGTTGGTGGCAGCTGGTGACAGAAGATGGCAGTTGGTGACAGACCAGGGACAGGCAGGGCAGTTGGTGGCAGAAGAGGGATAGGCGGGGCAGCTGGTGACAGAAGGTGGCAGTTGGTGACAAACCAGGGACAGGCGGGGCAGTTGGTGACAAACCAGGGACAGGCGGGGCAGTTGGTGGCAGCTGGTGCCAGAAGGTGGCAGTTGGTGACAAACCAGGGACAGGCGGGGCAGTTGGTGGCAGAAGTGGGGCAGGCGGGGCAGTTGGTGGCAGTTGGTGACAGGCAGGGCAGCTGGTGGCAGAAGAGGGATAGGCGGGGCAGCTGGTGGCAGAAGGTGGCAGTTGGTGACAAACCAGGGACAGGCGGGGCAGTTGGTGGCAGAAGAGGGACAGGCAGGGCAGCTGGTGACAGAAGGTGGCAGTTGGTGACAAACCAGGGACAGGTGGGGCAGCTGGTCACAAACCAGGGACAGGCGGGGCAGTTGGTGACAAACCAGGGACAGGCGGGGCAGTTGGTGGCAGCTGGTGACAGAAGATGGCAGTTGGTGACAGACCAGGGACAGGCAGGGCAGTTGGTGGCAGAAGAGGGATAGGCGGGGCAGCTGGTGACAGAAGGTGGCAGTTGGTGACAAACCAGGGACAGGCGGGGCAGTTGGTGACAAACCAGGGACAGGCGGGGCAGTTGGTGGCAGAAGAGGGACAGGCAGGGCAGCTGGTGACAGAAGGTGGCAGTTGGTGACAAACCAGGGACAGGCGGGGCAGCTGGTCACAAACCAGGGACAGGCGGGGCAGTTGGTGACAAACCAGGGACAGGCGGGGCAGTTGGTGGCAGCTGGTGACAGAAGATGGCAGTTGGTGACAGACCAGGGACAGGCAGGGCAGTTGGTGGCAGAAGAGGGATAGGCGGGGCAGCTGGTGACAGAAGGTGGCAGTTGGTGACAAACCAGGGACAGGCGGGGCAGTTGGTGGCAGCTGGTGCCAGAAGGTGGCAGTTGGTGACAAACCAGGGACAGGCGGGGCAGTTGGTGGCAGAAGAGGGACAGGCGGGGCAGCTGGTGGCAGTTGGTGACAGGCAGGGCAGCTGGTGGCAGAAGAGGGATAGGCGGGGCAGCTGGTGACAGAAGGTGGCAGTTGGTGACAAACCAGGGACAGGCGGGGCAGTTGGTGGCAGAAGTGGGGCAGGCGGGGCAGTTGGTGGCAGTTGGTGACAGGCAGGGCAGCTGGTGGCAGAAGAGGGATAGGCGGGGCAGCTGGTGGCAGAAGGTGGCAGTTGGTGACAAACCAGGGACAGGCGGGGCAGTTGGTGGCAGAAGAGGGACAGGCAGGGCAGTTGGTGACAGAAGATGGCAGTTGGTGGCAGAAGTGGGGCAGGCGGGGCAGTTGGTGGCAGCTGGTGACAGAAGATGGCAGTTGGTGGCAGAAGAGGGACAGGCGGGGCAGTTGGTGACAGAAGATGGCAGTTGGTGGCAGAAGTGGGGCAGGCGGGGCAGTTGGTGGCAGCTGGTGACAGAAGATGGCAGTTGGTGGCAGAAGAGGGACAGGCAGGGCAGTTGGTGGCAGAAGAGGGACAGGCGGGGCAGTTGGTGGCAGAAGAGGGATAGGCGGGGCAGCTGGTGGCAGAAGGTGGCAGTTGGTGACAAACCAGGGACAGGCGGGGCAGTTGGTGGCAGAAGAGGGACAGGCAGGGCAGCTGGTGGCAGTTGGTGACAGGCAGGGCAGCTGGTGGCAGAAGAGGGATAGGCGGGGCAGCTGGTGACAGAAGGTGGCAGTTGGTGACAAACCAGGGACAGGCGGGGCAGTTGGTGGCAGAAGTGGGGCAGGCGGGGCAGTTGGTGGCAGCTGGTGACAGAAGATGGCAGTTGGTGACAGACCAGGGACAGGCGGGGCAGTTGGTGGCAGAAGAGGGATAGGCGGGGCAGCTGGTGACAGAAGGTGGCAGTTGGTGACAAACCAGGGACAGGCGGGGCAGTTGGTGGCAGAAGTGGGGCAGGCGGGGCAGTTGGTGGCAGCTGGTGACAGAAGATGGCAGTTGGTGGCAGAAGTGGGGCAGGCGGGGCAGTTGGTGGCAGCTGGTGACAGAAGATGGCAGTTGGTGGCAGAAGTGGGGCAGGCGGGGCAGTTGGTGGCAGAAGAGGGACAGGCGGGGCAGTTGGTGGCAGAAGAGGGGCAGGCGGGGCAGTTGGTGGCAGAAGAGGGGCAGGCGGGGCAGTTGGTGGCAGCTGGTGACAGAAGATGGCAGTTGGTGACAGACCAGGGACAGGCGGGGCAGTTGGTGGCAGAAGAGGGACAGGCGGGGCAGTTGGTGGCAGAAGAGGGATAGGCGGGGCAGCTGGTGACAGAAGGTGGCAGTTGGTGACAAACCAGGGACAGGCGGGGCAGTTGGTGGCAGAAGAGGGACAGGCGGGGCAGCTGGTGACAGAAGGTGGCAGTTGGTGGCAGAAGAGGGACAGGCGGGGCAGTTGGTGGCAGAAGAGGGATAGGCGGGGCAGCTGGTGACAGAAGGTGGCAGTTGGTGACAAACCAGGGACAGGCGGGGCAGTTGGTGGCAGAAGTGGGGCAGGCGGGGCAGTTGGTGGCAGCTGGTGACAGAAGGTGGCAGTTGGTGACAGACCAGGGACAGAAGGTGGCAGTTGGTGACAGGCAGGGCAGTTGGTGGCAGAAGAGGGACAGGCGGGGCAGTTGGTGGCAGCTGGTGACAGAAGATGGCAGTTGGTGACAGACCAGGGACAGGCGGGGCAGTTGGTGGCAGCTGGTGACAGAAGGCGGCAGTTGGTGACAGACCAGGGACAGGCGGGGCAGTTGGTGGCAGAAGAGGGACAGGCAGGGCAGCTGGTGGCAGTTGGTGACAGGCAGGGCAGCTGGTGGCAGAAGAGGGATAGGCGGGGCAGCTGGTGACAGAAGGTGGCAGTTGGTGACAAACCAGGGACAGGCGGGGCAGTTGGTGGCAGAAGTGGGGCAGGCGGGGCAGTTGGTGGCAGCTGGTGACAGAAGGTGGCAGTTGGTGACAGACCAGGGACAGAAGGTGGCAGTTGGTGACAGGCAGGGCAGTTGGTGGCAGAAGTGGGGCAGGCGGGGCAGTTGGTGGCAGAAGTGGGGCAGGCGGGGCAGTTGGTGGCAGCTGGTGACAGAAGGTGGCAGTTGGTGACAGACCAGGGACAGAAGGTGGCAGTTGGTGACAGGCAGGGCAGTTGGTGGCAGAAGAGGGACAGGCGGGGCAGTTGGTGGCAGCTGGTGACAGAAGATGGCAGTTGGTGACAGACCAGGGATAGGCGGGGCAGTTGGTGGCAGCTGGTGACAGAAGGCGGCAGTTGGTGACAGACCAGGGACAGGCGGGGCAGTTGGTGGCAGAAATGGCCTCTGGTGCCACCCTCCGCCCCCTGCCCGGCCTAGGGTCTCCCGGGCCCTGGGGCGGGGTTGCCGGGCGGGCAGGCGCGGAGGGGGGCGCTAGGCAGGATCCTGCGGACGGCGCCCGTTGCGGGCCCCGGAAAGGTTTCCCGCCAGGGCCGCTGCTGTACTCGGGGCTGGGGCTGGGGCTGCGCAGCGAAGTGGAAGGGGACCCTGGCCGCCCGCTCTGGCCCCCGTGGCGGGCTCCGAACGTGCCGCCCTCGTAAAGATGGCGCCGGGCCGGCCCGCGCCCAACATGGCGCCGGCGGCCTCACGGCGGGCACGTGACCCGCGGTGGCCCCGCCCCCCGCCGCTCCGTGGAGTCCCGGTGAGCCCCCCCCCGCCGCTCTGCTCGCCGCCCAGCGGGGACGGGAGCCGGGCTGCAGAGGCTACGGGAGGCCGCGGCCCGAGCGGCCGATCGCAGCGCCCGCCGGGGATGTGCCGTGGGCTCGGGAGCCATGTCCAGGGTGGGCGGCCCCGGGCCGGCCGGCGGCCCCCCAGAGAAACGCTCCTTCAGCAAGCGGTTGTTCCGGGGCCGGGCCGGCGCGGGCTCGGCCCGCTCGCTCAGCGGCTTCATGAGCCGGGTGCTCAAGACCCTCTCCACCCTGTCGCACTACAGCAGCGAGCCCGAGGCGGCCCGCGGCCCGCAGCCCCCGCGCCTGCCCCCGCCGGCGGCGGCCCGCGGCCTGGGCAGCTGCTTCCACCCGGCCCGGCCGCCGCCGCCGCCGCCCAGCCCCGAGCCGCCGCTGCTGCCGCCGCCGCCGCCCCCCGAGGCCCTGGAGCCGGTGCCCGGGGTGGCCGGGCTGAAGAACCACGGGAACACGTGCTTCATGAACGCCGTCCTGCAGTGCCTCAGCAACACCGAGCTCTTCGCCGAGTACCTGGCGCTGGAGCACTACCGGGGCCAGGCGGGCGGCGAGCCCCCCGCGCCGCGGACGCCGCCCCCCGCCCGGCGACACCGCCCCGCCGCCGCCGCCGCCCAAGGGCGAGGTCACCGAGCAGCTGGCGCAGCTGGTTCGGGCGCTCTGGACGCTGGAGTACACCCCGCAGCACAGCCGCGAGTTCAAGGTGAGGCGGGGCAGCCTCGGGGGCGCGGCTGCCTGGGCTCGCCTTTGGGCCGGGGGCCGCTGCTGGCCCTTTCCCCGGCGCCTGCCTCTGGCCCAGGGGTGTAACCTGTGGAACACGTGCTCCGCGCCACGCCCGCCACTGGGCCGCGCAGGTGAGGGGCTGGGGTGCGAACCGCTCGGGCATGTGCCTCTGCTCAGGGCGGTCCCCGCCCTGCGGGTCACCGCTCTGGCTCGCCTGCCGGCGCTGCGTTTTGCCTTCAGCAGCGCTCTCTTTGAATTGGGTCTGATTTTTATTGAACAGCTGTGCTATGGTCCCCGACACGGGCCCCTGCCATTCCTTGTTCACGCCCGTTAGCTGGCCCCGGGCTATGTGGAAATCTTTCACCGTTTATAATGACTAAGAGGAGAACTTGTAACTGAAAAAGCAAGAGGAAAGGCAGGTTGTACAAGGTCATACTTTAGTAGGACATAGGCTGACCTCATGCTTAGCTATCTTATTTACAGGCGTGAGGGCTTTGGTATACACTAGGGCAGTGGTTTTCAAACTGCGGGTCGCAACCCAGTACTGGGTCAAGGAACGTCAAGCACTGGGTCCCCGCGGCTCTCGTCAGCACTGCTGACTGGGCGGTTAAAAGGGGCATCAGCGGTGCTGCCTGGCTAAGGCAGGCTAGTTCCTACTTGTTCTCACACTGCACTGTGCCCTGGAAGCAGCCAACCGCAGATCTGCCTCCTAGGTGGGGCAGGCCATGGGGTTCCAGGCGCTGCCCCTGCCCTGAGCACTGGTGCTGCACTCCCATTGGCCGTGAACCAGCCAGTGGGAGCTGGGGGGTGTGGTCTCTGCTGGCAAGAACCATGTGGAGCCGCTTGCGGGTCTCTGCTTAGGAGCCGGACCTGCTGCTGGCCTCCTCTGGGGTACAGTGCAGTCTGTAATGCCAGGACAGGCAGGAAGCCTGCCTTAGCATCTCTGCTGCGCTGCTGCCTGGGACCAACCCTGCCTGCCAATCCCCAGCCCTGAGCCCTCCCTCCAAACCTGGAGCTGCTTTCTGCACCCCAAACCCCTCATCCCTGTCCCCACCCCAGAGCCCTGTCCCCACCCCTGCATCCCTTCATGTCCCCAAGCATTCCATCCCCTGCACCCCAACCCTCTGCCCCAGCCCTGAGTTGCGGGCATCAACAATTTTCTTCAATTGGGTCGCCAGAAAACGAGTTTGAATACCAGTGCACTAGGGAGATTCCTTTATTGTTTCAGTTAAGTGTTTTCAGGAGAAAGGAACTCTTTTTAGTGGATATTTATCTTTTTATTCTTGGCCACAAATGTTAATTTTGGTTCTATTAAGAAGCTGGGACCAGATGTGTACCACTAGCTGAAGTATAAGCAGATTCATAAGGCATGTTGTACAATGGCAGTCACTAGTGACTCTCTGGGATAACCAATGCCTATGGAGAATGTTGTTTCTCACAGTTCTGAGTAAGCAAAAATGCTAGCTGTCTGTAAACAGACAAACAGCAGATTGGAGTTTTCAAAGTTTGAAACTTCTGTCATGCAAAGCAAAAAACTAAATGTTGAAATCGAGCGTGAAGGTTAACTTGGCAGTGTTTGCAAACAGCTTGTTTCTTGTCTGTAGAGCAGCAGTTGCTTGTTAACCTGGCTATGCTAGCAATACACTACTTACCTTCTTAAACTAGTTTACTTTTAAGTTAGCCCTCCTCTCTCTTTACTCAGATCCAGTCTCATGTGCCAGTGGCTAACCTTGCCCTTGGGACTAGTTTGCCTGAGAACCCTTCTCTGAATAAGTTTTTAACTTATTAACATCAATACCAAACCAGGCACATAGCAAGTTAAGTGTGTACCAGACTTTGTTTTGGTGGTCTTTTCCTGTCTTAAAGCTTATTCCAAAGTCCCGTGGAACAGAATTTTGGGGTTCTTGACATGTCTGAAATACTATTTCTAGATATTTTTCAGAGTAACAGCTGTGTTAGTCTGTATTTGCAAAAAGAAAAGGAGGACTTGGCACCTTAGAGGCTAACCAATTTATTTGAGCATGAGCTTTCGTGAGCTACAGCTCGCTTCATCAGATGCATACTGTGGAAAATACAGAAGATGTTTGTTTTTATACACACAGACCATGAAAAAAAGTGAGGATGTTTTTATACACAGACTATGAAAAAATGGGTGTTTGTAGTAATAAACACCCATTTTTTCATGGTCTGTGTGTATAAAAACATGTATCCAATGAAGTGAGCTGTCGCTCACAAAAGCTTATGCTCAAATAAATTGGTTCGTCTCTAAGGTGCCACAAGTCCTCCTTTTCTTATTTCTAGATATGTGGCCCATATGTTGCTAATTGAAAGCTGCCTGGTGGAACCAACTTGTGGCTGTGAGCAGAAGGTATACTTCAGTCGTCTGGTTCGCAAAGCTGAGCAATGAACAGTTTGTTTTGTGTAAATAGTACTCTTTCTCAAGTAGTCTCCTGTAACAACTGCTTGCTTTTGCCTCAGGCCACACTTTTTCTTTGCCATTTCTATTTCCGGATGTGAAAACTGGGATAGTTTTAACTTGTGGTCTAGTCAGAAGCATTATTGGGTTAGGTTACTTCTTGGTGTTCCTCGGAGAACTCTCACCCTAGATTTGGTCTACACAAGAAAAATTATTACCTGTATTACAACTGCTGCCATGAATATTGCAAGCACTGGTGTAGTCATGGCACCATGACAGGACAGAGCAGGTTTGCATGGCTGCCCTAGCAGCTTACCACTAATGCAGTGGTTCTCAACCTATTTACTACTGTGGGCCACACATGAAGCGCTCTCTCTGTTATGTGAAAAGAAAAGGAGTACTTGTGGCACCTTAGAGACTAACCAATTTATTTGAGCATGAGCTTTCCTTTTCTTTTTGCGAATACAGACTAACACGGCTGTTCCTCTGATCTCTGTTATGTGGACGACATCCACACAATATATATAGTATTTGTGTGGCCCTGAGGATGTCACATGGGCTGCAGCTGTGTGCTGATAGGGCCACAGGTTGAGAACCACTGCATTGTTGCTGTCACATGACTTCCAATTTTTGTAGTCTAGCTGCAGGTGCTGTAGGACCTGGTGTTCATGATTCAGTGGGCACGACTTCCCAGCACGGTGCAGGAGAGTACTGTATTGATGCTGTCTTTCAGGAGGAATGCAAAGCATGGTTCTAATTTGAAACATGCTTCTCCGTAAGGGGCCTTGTGGGATTCAACATTTGTATTTCAGCAGCTCCAGAGACCTAACTTAGCTTCTAAGTGTCTTCAAAAAAGCAGACTTGCATTTTACATGATAGTGCCACAGACTCAAGCTATAAATCAAATGAGGTGCTTTCTGGCTCATGTATTGTCACCAGTAATAAATATTCTGCAGATCAGATTCTATCCTTCGTAACTCCAGTATTTTTATTTTTAGTGTTCTATTGAAACTTGATAAACAATTCTCTTGGTTTTGTGAGAGCCCAGAAAGCATCCACCTTGCTGTTCCATTGCTGTGTGGATTCTGCAGTGCTAATGTGTTAAAATTAAAACTTGTTTTTGTCACTCAGGTGAGCAAGTCTGACTGATTACATGCAGAAAGTAGATCTGTTGAATAGTAAGATGCCATTCTTACAGAGTCACTCATTTTAAAGGGTAGATTCTTACACTCAAACCAAGTTTCTGACCACGTGAAAATATCCAATTTCACTTTTTGCAAGAGTGGAGGATTTTAATCTCCACATCTGTGCCAACTCCTGTTTTACTTGGGTGCATTCTGCCTACTTAAACATTTCTTCTGCAGTTTTAGTTTCTGCCCAAAGCTACTGTAAAGTATTGTGCTGTTAAATAGCTGTCATGTTTGCCCCAGAAGTCAGGTCACTTCTGTGGTGGTGGGGGAAGTGATCTTGTGTCTGTAGTCTTTAAAGCACTGTCGGTCCTTTGGGATGAAAGGCACCTGACAAAGCTACAGTAAGAGGTTATTCCTGGGCTAACTTTACTCCTAGCATAGTGAGAGTACAGTACTACTAAATTACCTTCTTTGAAACAATGACTCTTTGGAGCATCAAAATTCAGCGCTCCCTTGCAGGATTAAGAGACAGTGGAGACTTCATTTTGTTCATCTAAATGGTGAATTCTTTTCCTGCATGGCAGGATGAAGAGAGGATGTACTGGATTATAGCAAGAGCAGCCGGAAGTATGGTTTGTGCGTCTGATGTGGCTCTTGAAGGCACCATAGGGCTCCGTTATCCAAATGATGGTGTGACTAGTGGAGATTGCAGGTCCCAGCATGCAGTGCTGTACCTTGATCTGAGCAACTAGGTCCCATCAAGTTCCAGAATATGTAATCTTCACATGCTGCACTTTCTTACTGAAGATGAAGACAGTAATATCCTGACCCACCCGATGTATCTACTAGGTGTGCCCTCTTGATTCCTGTTAAGTTGCCCATTTGGGGGTTGCACGGACACAATTTAGGCTCCCTAATCTTCTGAATTTGGGACAATGGCCAGCAATCTTGTCTGTTTCCACACAGGAAATCCACTGATGTCTTTCCATTGCAGTCCTGCTATTTCCATGTTTTTTGTTGTGGAGGTCTGTTAATTCATTTGTGAGCTGGGCCCCACTAGCTGCTGTCCCTGTCATGTGTGCATGGCACAGCGAACTGCATATTCAGCGATTACATTGTGCATAGTTGCTGTGTGGGGTCCTCATGTGAGTGAACACTTGAGTTTTCAATACTGAGTATCGTGCTGGGCTGTATAAGCACTTGAAGAACAGAGCCCTTGAACTGCAGGAATAATGAAACCATTTTTAGACATGCTTGGGGACACAGATACTTCAAATCATTTTTTTTCTGATAGTGTCTGGAGTGTGCAAAGTGCTTCCTGAATAGAGAAAGGACAGTCTTGTCCCAAGGAGTCCACAGTCTAAAAACTAGTCTTTGAATGGATCATATAAACTGTTACCAATTACTCCTTCGACTGCCATGATCAAATAATCA